GTACCTCTTCCTTTTGTTTATAGCACTTCATCTCATTCCTTTCAAGAAGACTAATTTATCCCTTTTTATCTTCAGAACTTAGCAGGGTTCTTGTATGTGCTGGGCAGTGTAAAACATGTTCCTTGGACAAACAGGTATAGCTTATATTTCTGATGAGAGTTTGCTACCAGACTAGCTACCCGGGGCCAGTTCATGCACGTGGATGGGCAGTACCAGCGGTAGCTCCTTACTGTGCTGTACTCTGTGCACTCTTTAACCATACTAGTGCTACAATCCAGTTGTACAACTGGGTTCCAATATAACTTGGAACTGTGCTGCCAGCAGGGTTACCTATGGTGTAATTTTGAAAGATGTTCAGGTTTTGTCTCAAACAAAAAAACACACAAAAGGTTGTGGTGGTTTGAATGAAATGCTGCACAGTGTCTCAGGCACTCAAGTTTTTGGTTCCTAATTGGTGGCAGTATTTGGGGAGGTTTAGGTGTGCTCTTGTTGGAGAGTGGCACTAATGGGGCTGGGGGCAGGGTTTAAGAGTCTGCTCAGCTTCTTGCTTGTGGTTCAAGACATGACCCTCCGGAAACTGTACGTGCAAATAAACTGTTTTGTAAGTTGCCTTGGTCTCTTGTTTTATCACAGCAATAGAAAATCAATACAAAGGTGGAAGTCATCCAACGTCATCCTCTGACCTCCACATGTATGTGAACCCTCACATGTATGTGTAGATACTTAACACACATGAAGAATAAACTTACCTTTACCTGGAGGGAAAAGCCTTTGCCTCCTGAGTGCTGGGATTCTAGGGATGTACCAGTCATGCCCACGTTTGCTCCACAAGATCTTTTTTGTTTGTTTTTTGAGGCAGGGTTTCTGTATGTGTAGCCTTGGCTGTCCTAGACTCACTTTGTAGACCAGGCTGGCCTCAAGCTCACAGAGATTTACCTGCCTCTGCCTCCCCGAGTGCTGGGATTGCAGGTATGCGGCTCCTTGCCCAGCTGCTCAACAAAAATCTTGAAAGAGCTGTGAACATACCTTCCTGCCTGTGCTGGCTTGTTTTATGTAAACTTGACACAAGCTAGAGTCATTTGGGAGAAAGGAGCCTAGGGTGAGAAGATGTTCCCACCAGATGGGCCTGTGGACAAACCTGTGGTGCATTTTCTTTGCTTCATGATTGATGTGGGAGGGCCCACTCACTGTGGGCCGTGCAGGTGCTAGGCTGATGGTCTTGGGTGCTATAAGAAAGCAAGCTGAACAAGCCACAGGTATCAAGCTCGTAGGCAGCATTCTTTCATGGCCTCTGCAGCAGGGAAAAACTAGTTTTCTCCCTTGAGTTTCTGCCCTGAGTTGCGAACTACACAGGGTTTCTGTGTGTAATAGCCTTGGCTGTAAAATAAAATAAATCCTTTCCAATTTCCTTGTTGTTGCTGTGGTATTTTATCACAGCAATAGAAACCCTAAGACACTGCCCTTCTCATTTTGTCATTCCCCTAAACTGGTTCTTCCTTTCAAGTGAGACTTGCAGCCCATCTCCCAGTCTCTAGTTTGTTTCTAGCTTCTCCATACATTCCATCATTTCAGCCACATTCTTAGCTGAGGTCTTTGTTTTGTTCTGAGGCAGGCTCTCAAAGTGGTCTGGAGCTCAGTATGTATAGACCAGGATAGCCTTGAATTCACTGAGATCATCTGCCTATGCCTCCAAAGTGCTGGGATTAAAAGTCTGTGAGTGTGTATGTATGTATGCATGTGTATACACGAGTGTACACAAAGGTCAAACATGCTGTCTCACTGGAACTAGGAGCTCTCTGATGTGGCTAGGCTGTTTGGCCAGGGGTTTCCTTGCTTGTGCTCTGCTAGCCCGGCAGTCCTAAGTGTGCAGTAGCCTCCAGCTTCTTACATGGGTGCTAGGAATTTAACTCAGAGCTTGATGCTTATGCAAGTACTTTATTGATGAGGCTTTCTCCAGCCCCATCTTCTCAAACATCTGTCATCACTGAGTGCTCTGTGCAGCCTATAGGGCAGGTGATGTAAGGTGAACAGTTACAGCCAGTTGTGGTTGTGCATATAATCCCGGTACTTGGGAGGCTAAAGCACTATAATGATGAGTTTGAGGCCAGCCAAGACTAAAGGAGACCTTCAAAACCAAGAGATCCTGAGTTCTGAAGGGAAAGTAGGGATTTGCCGGAAGGAAAAGAAAATGGATAAGTATTTCTCTTTGGCTGGAACATGTGGCTGCTAAGTTGGCCGAAACTGGACCTGGTGGTACAAGCCTGTAATGCTCACTGCTATGAAGGCCCAGACATTCCCCTTATTGCAGGCTTGGTGCCTGCCTAGTCAACTTAGTGAAACTGTCAAAAGAAAAAAGTTGGTATATACCAACTTTAGTAGTAGGACTTTTATTTGCTTGGCATGTGAGAGGCTGTAGATTCAACCCCTGGCATTTAAGAAGGGTACTGGGGAGGCTGAGGCAGGAAGATCTGAAACTCAAAACTCAAGGTCAGCATGGGACACAGAGGGATACTCTTTCTGGAAAAAAAAAAAAAAAAAAAAAAAAAAAAAAAGCAAGACCAAACAGAAAGCACATAGCTGTAACAGCATTTGAAAATGGATTTCAATTTTGAGGCAAACCTAGGATATTTATTGAAACCCCAGATCCCATATTAAAAGAACAAAACAAAAGGCAAAATTGGAGAGACAAAGTTTATCATAGGGCTGAATTAAAGATCGTAACTTGATTCTGAGAGTTAGTAGACAATAAATTGTTTTGGATTTATATGTGTATCTGTGTGTCTGCTTGAGTTTATTCTGTTTTTTTTGAGACAGAGTTTCTGTGTGTAATAGCCTTGGCTGTCTTGGAACTCTCTTTGTAAACCAGGCTGGCATTGGACTCACAGAGATTCTCCTGTCTCTTCTTCCCAAGTCCTTCCCAAAGGCATGTGCTGTTTGAGTTTAGGAGCACCACATTTGTACAAGAGTCCATAGAGGCCAGAAGAGGGTGCTGGATCCCCTGGAACTGAGTGGCCTGTGAGCCACCCTGCAGGTGCTGGGAACCAAACCTTGCTTCAGAGCAGTCAGCAGTCTTAATCACTGAGCCACGTATCTAGCCTCAACTGTCTTAAGTGGAAGCCACGTATCTAGCCTCAACTGTCTTAAGTGGAAGTAAAAATCAGATTTGTGAGATTAGGAAGAGGGCTCAATGAGTAGGATGGGCTCCTCTGCCAGCATGAAAATCTAAGTTCAAAACCCCAGTGGCTAAGCACGGCTGCTTATGCTTGTAACCCCAGAACTGTTGGTAGAGGTAAGTGGATCCCGAGAGCTCACTGGCCAGCCACACTAGCCAAATGGTAAGCTTCCAGTTAATAAGTGGATTGTCTCAAGGCCCTAAGGAAGTGTGACAAGACACCCAGTGTCCTGCTTTAGCCTCTGCATGCATGGGCACACATGTCCACACACAAAGGCTTCAACTGGAGGGGAGCAGCAGGCTTTCCGGAGACCAGTTAGTTGATAGAGGGTTGTGCTACACAAGGACAGCAGTGGACACAGAGCTGTTGAGTATTTGTGGTGTATGGGCGATTGTGTGTACAAGAACGTGCACCTGGGTTTGTATGGAAGCCAGAGGAGAACATCAGTCTTTACACTGTCATATATCACTCTTTACACTGTTTATTTGAGTCAGGGTCTTACTGAACCTGGAGTTTGCATTTCTGCAGTAGTCCAGAATTTGGCAAACCCCAGAAATCCTCTGGTGTTCACCTTACGCAGTGCTGGGACTGAACTCCAGTCTTTGTGTGTGTACAGCAAGAGCTCTTAGCTGCTGAGTGATCTCTCTACACCCTTCAACATGGGAGTCTAAAAGCAGGAAATAGTTCTGTTTTGGATATGAATTTGAGGTGCAGAGAAAAACGTGTAGGCTTAGATTTTTCAAATACCTATTTTAAGTTCTTAAATGCCTTTACCTTCCTTCCAACGAACTTCCCCCACCACCTGAAGTAGATTAGTAGGGAAAGGGGATGTAGACCTGCTTTATCTACTTCCTTCTGAGAGGGGTTCTTTGAGGATTACCTAACTCAGTCAGAATACCAGCGGTCTAGTCAGACAGCAAAGCAGCAGCCGCTACACAAGTCAGCAGAAGCAGAACGATTCAAGCTGGACTCTGCCCAAATGGCTCAAGTCCAAAAAAAGCGGCAAAACTCCACCAAAGCACCATAAGCAATTCTCTGGAGTGTTTCTCTGGAGTGTGAAGGGTCCAAACCATTGCAAAGCATAACAATGCAAAAACATTGTCTCATCATCTGTGGGCTTCTATTTATCCCTTCTCAGAGTCCACACAAGGAAATTTTCTAGCTCACAAAAGCCATGCCTCTCAGGTGAGGTAATTTTCAGCTGACAAACAAGTGCCTTTTCACAGGGGCTGTTTCCAAGGGGGGAAACATCCTCACATACCACACTTGGGACCAAAACAACAACAGCAAAAAAATGTATTTACATGACACAACAGAGTTTCCAAAGAAACCAGAAACTTCCACTTCAGACATGTTCCTATAATATTCAGTGAACATATAGGCAGGATCTTGAACTCCCGTAAGTATGTGGGGTGGAAGTGACAAGAGCCATCAGAATAAATGTGATAACGGAAGCCTTGAGAATGTGAGCTCATAAGGGAGGATGTGAAGGTCTGAGAAAATCACACTTGTCACAGAATTTTGAGTATGTGACAAAGGGATAAATAGATGGTGGCCCTGGGGGAAAGTGGGTTGATGGTAGCGTGCTGGCCTAGCACACAAAGGGCCCTAGGTTTAATTTGCAGTCAAAACAAAACAAAAATAAAAGCTGGAAAGTGATGATGTTCCAGTGGAAGAATGACTAAAAGGATGGGAAGAAAACAAGACTATTCCAGATCTGCAAAGCAAGAATGCAGGTCAAGGTTGACTTCACTTCGTAGAATATGCTTCAATGCCTTGCAGTCCTGTATGCAATCTTACATGTTTCTCATGCTGGACTGCAAAATCCAGTAGCACAGGCACTCTGTTTGCCTTGTTCACTAGTATATTCTGCATATTACACAGCACACAGTAGATACTCAGTAAAGTGAAGGGACCACAGGGGAGGTGCACTAGACTGTGAGGTGCCTTTTGTAGTGAATGTGTTCTAAACTGCACTTCGTTTCAATCTTTGTGGCCAATGGTGAATAAAGGCGTATGGAACTTGGGACCTTGGAAGTTCTGTAACTAAGACATGGAAGTAACAACAGCCAGCCAAGACAAAAAGAATGTTCCTTTCTTTCCCCTTCCAAGTTCTACGTAAAGGGCTGGGCCCAGCATCCCGGACTTTTGTGACTAGGTAAGCATTAGGAAACTTCACTTTGGTACCCTCCCATCAGTGGCTCAAGGTGGCTTCTCGGTAGACAGAGGCTTCTAAGTATCAAAGCTTCCCCCTGCACAAGCCCAGCACCATGGGGAAGGGAGACACCACCTCGGAAACAGCATCGGCTAATGCCTATCGCTCTGTCATGGAGGAGTATGGTTATGAGGTGGGCAAGGTCATTGGCCATGGCTCCTATGGAACTGTATATGAGGCTTACTACACAAAGCAGAAGATTATGGTGGCTGTCAAGATCATCTCAAAGAAGAAGGCATCTGATGACTATCTTAACAAGTTCCTACCACGTGAGATACAGGTCAGAAAGGGAGCTGAAGGGGAAACTGAGGCTTATTAATAAGCTACTTGAGGTATCTTAGAGGTATAACTATAAAAAGGGAGAGATCCAGAAAACTCCAGACCAGAACTGAATGTCTTAAGTAGGAAAATTCTGTAATCTATAGATACATGTCCTCTTTCCTATCTACAAACATTTCAGCCCACTATCCACCCCACCCCCAAGTTAAAATGCAAAATGGGATTTACGCAGACACCAGCTGATCCTGTTGCAAAGTTGTAAGCAGCAATGGGACAGTAGAGAGAGGCCAGCACAGCCAGAGTTTGCCAGGTTTGATGGCTCCCTCTTTTGGGATCAGGTAATGAAAGTCTTACGGCACAAGTACCTCATCAACTTCTATCAGGCCATTGAGACCACATCCCGAGTATACATCATTTTGGAGCTGGCTCAGGGCGGTGATGTCCTCGAATGGATCCAACGCTATGGGGCCTGCTCTGAGCCCATTGCTGGCAAATGGTTCTCCCAGATGGCCTTAGGCATCGCCTACCTGCACAGCAAGGGCATCGTGCACCGGTGAGGACAGTCACCGGACTGGGCTTTGGGACCTCAAGGGGGTTTTATGCATACTGCCCATGTTCTGCCCTTTTCTCTTGACTTCTCTCAATATCTAGGTCCATTTTTCACCATATTGTAACCACCTGGTCAAGGACACTTGTATTCACTGTGTGAGAGCACTTTATACACCATGGTGAACTAGTGGTCCTCAGGTACCATCTCTCCTTTGGGCTCTGTCCACAACTCCACGGCTTTGCTTCCACTTTACTCCTCATAAACATCTCCCTCCCTCTTATCCTGTCCTCATCTCTAGCCTCTGGCCCCTTTCCTTTCAGCTCCAGGTCTAACACTAAGCCCTCTCCCCAGCCTGACCCCCAGCCTTTCTGCTGCTGGTAGGGACTTAAAGTTGGAGAACCTGTTGCTGGACAAGCGGGAGAATGTGAAGATATCGGACTTTGGCTTCGCCAAGATGGTGTCTTCTAATCAGACTGTGCGTAGTAGCCCTTCTTACCGCCAAATGAACTACCCTTCAAACCTCAGCCAGACCTACTGTGGCAGCTTTGCTTATGCCTGCCCGGAGATCTTGCTAGGCTTGCCCTACAACCCTTTCCTGTCTGACACGTGGAGCATGGGCGTCATCCTCTACACTCTAGTGGTTGCAAAGCTGCCCTTTGATGACACCAATCTCAAGAAGTTGCTGAGAGAGACCCAGAAGGAGGTCACTTTCCCAGCTAACCTCACCATCTCCCAGGAGTGCAAGGTGCTGGCTCCCCCAGGAGGGCTGAGGCTTGAGGAGGGGAGGGGAAGTAAATACCAAATTTAGGCCTTCCACCTGGGGGTCGGGAGGCTTTTCTCATGCTAGAGATATCTTTATCTAGCTTCTAGTCAAAATGGTGGGGAGGACTTAAGAGTGTCAGCCACTGAGCTGCAAACCTTAAATATGCTTGATCATTAGGTTAAAGCATTGATCCCTTTAGGGCAAAAGGGGTTATGCAAGGAGCTCTTCTCTTTTCTTGCAGGGCTCCAGCATAAAACCAGGGCCCCAGCCCCTTTCACCAGAGTACTGTGATGGGCTCTCCCACTTCTTTCTTAGGTCCTGCTGCTCACTGCCTGTGTGGCACAAAGGGGATCGAGCTCAGCCAAGCCCTCTCTCTCCCCTGCCCTAGAACCTGATCTTCCAGATGCTACGCCAAGCTACCAAGCGTGCCACCATCCTGGATGTCCTCAAAGACCCCTGGATGCTCAAGTTCCAGCCTGAGCAACCCTCGCAAGAAATCAAGCTGCTCGAGGCCATGTGCCAGCCTGCCAGCACTGCTAATCGTCACCAATCCCTGGAAATCACAACCTGAAAGTGGCTGAGGCAGGAAGTTAAGGAGAAATGCAGTAGGGTCTGGGGGAAAATCTTTTATATAAAAATAAATCTAATTAGTTTCATCATGTAGAGTCAAAGACATTTTTTTCCTCAAGAGAGTCCTAATGGAGAACCCTCCTGAGGGGTGGATTTCTGCCCAGAGCCTGTAGCCAGGCTAATGAAAGTTAGTGAAATTGACTGGGGGAAGCCTTACTATATCCGTTAAGTTCGAGGCTCTTATTTCACATTTTTGTTCTCTAATGTTCTAGCAGCCTATGGGACAAGGTGTCGGGGAGGGTGCAGGGGGCTTGGTTGTTCTCTTTTGATTCTGGCTCTCCCATTTACACTGCAAAGCAATGGCATGCTTCTTTCTGGTCTGTGTATGTGCCCAACTTGGGTAGACATTTTCCCTAGAAAGAGATAAAACCAAAGGGAACAGGACAAGCCTGGTTTTTGGATGCACAGGCTGCCTGCCGACAATTCCACATAGAGATATGAGGCTTTACTAAGTACCTAGCACCTTTTCCCTCCAGTATAACATTAACCATTACTGGAAGAATGTAAACCATAGCTCCTAGATACTGAAGTAACAGAGTTCCAGCCAAGCCTTGTAGTAAACTGTGAATTCTAAATAAGGAAAGCTTCTTGCCCCTGCATGATTGCATGACTACACTAAAGTGATAAGAAAGACTCATATTGTCTTCTTGAGATCTGATCTCTCTTCTCTCCCCTCCTCCCCTTTCCTTTCTCCTCCTCCCCCTTACCTTTCCTTCAAGTATCCTAAAACCCACTCTGTAGCTCAGACTAGGCTGAAACTCACTATCCTCCTAGCTTAGCCTCCACAATGCTGGGATGGCAGGCATGTGCCATCATTTGGACTATCAACATGTTTATAAGATATATAATAAATAATTTCCCCCTCTTCTTTCTTTCTTCAGACACACACACACACACACACACACACACACACACACACACACACACAAAGACATGGTACACCCTGCTGTACAACCCTAGTTGGTCTGAACTCACAGAGATCTGCCTGCCTCTGCCTCCTTGGGTGCTGTGATTAAAATCATGTGCCACCACAGCTGATATTGATGGCAATTTCTTAACCTTAGCACTAGGCAACTCTGTGACAAATCAAATTGAAAGGTAAAACTGCCCAGAACAGGATATGGCCATTTTCTTTTTTTTTTCCTTTTTGTTCTCCCCACCCCCTACCCCCACTCCCACCCCAGCACACACAGTTTCTTTGTGTAGCCCTGGCTGTCCTGGAACTTGGCCTGCCTCTGCCTCTCAAGTGCTGGGATTAAAGGAATGTGCCACCACTGCCCAGCGCCATTTGTTTTTTCAACCCCACTTCATTACTCATTATTTTCACTTCTTAAAACAGGGCTCTTAGAATTAAGAGGAAGAATGGCCAAGTATAGACAAGACATATAGACACTAGGGATCCACCCATCCAGTTTTACTGGGGACAAAAACAGTCTTCTGCTACCAAAAAGAGGGGAGCCCAGAGGCAGCTCCTGTAGCAAGTTCAGTCTTCAAAGCTCAACTAAATGGGGAGAACAATGGGTCCTTCTCAGTCACACTGCCACCTCAGCAGAAAGTCCCAATGCTATCCTATCCTCCTTCAGCTCTCAGTGTTTGGCAAGTAAGGACAGCAGTAGAAAGACAACCCAACCCCCTCAGGACACCCAGCCTGCCAAATGCTTTAGTGACTCTTTGTCTTCATCCTTTCTGGAAGCTCTGAGGATGAGAATACCCCCCCCCCCAAAAGAATGTAGAATTAAAGCCTTCAGACTTCTGCTGGCACCTGCTCTGACACCTACAGCCTGCTGAATTGTCTCTTTCCAGTGAAAAGCCTAAAGTTGTACTCCTCTGGCTTGGTGACGCTCATTCCACAGCACCCCAGGTGCCAGAAGGAAAACAAACAAAACAGGCCTTTCACTTGCTGAGTGGAGCCCAGGCTGGATTCCGGGTTTCAACCCCTACTCCCCTCCAGTCAGATGCTGTTATATAGCCAGCAACCTGTACAACTGTAGCAGTAGCTTCTGGATCCTTTGCGATGAGCCAGATAACACAGATAGTAACAATAAGACCTTCCTCATACCTCTCACCCTCTCAAGTCTTTAACAAAGAGCCCTGGATATCTGGCCCTGCATGCAGCTGTGTATAAGGTACAGTAGGCAATCGACTGGGGTTTCTTCCTCCTTGTTGCCTACACTTAACAGCTCCAGCTCCTCTAGATCTGGCAGCAATTCATCCTGGATACAGGATGACAAGATTGGTCAAGACAAAGAAAAAAACCACCCAGTCCCCAAAGAGCCCACTTTTGAAGTTCTCTTTCAAATTAGTTTCCTTCCAAGCAGGCCCATGGTTTTTTCCAATATTCTCTGGTACCTCACCCCAGTCACCTCCAAAACCCATATGGTGAGAAATGGCATCTGAGACCTGCTGGGCCAGCTCCTGTTGTTCTGTGATGTTAGCTATCAGTTCCTCCGCCTTGTCAATGTCACTGAGAACAAGACACACAGCCAAGGAAGGAATCAGCACCCTTCCTTCTGTCTCCCCTCCCCCAAGCACCTAGCCACCACCATCGGCTTTCTCAGCTTGCCCAGATGAAGCGTTTCCATTATATGGCCTCACACTGGACTTTACACTTCCTTCCCTAAAGAAGCCTTAAAAATGAATGAATTTGGCTGGAGAGATGGCTCAGCCATTAAAGGCTAGGCTCACAATCAAAAATATAAGAGTTTGGTCTCCAGCCACACACACACATATACACACACACAAAGAATTTTTCTAGAATGCCCTGACCAGCAAAAGGATCTTTCATGAAGAAAGCAAGATTTCTAATCATCAAAAGCATGACTTATACAAGCTTTAGAAATTCAAAGAAGGCCTGTGATAGTGGTACACGCCTTTAATCCCAGCACTCGGGAGGCAGAGGCAGGTGTATCTCTATGAGTTCTAGGCCAGCCTGGTCTACAAAGGGAGTCCAGGACAGCCAAGGCTACACAGAGAAACCCTGTCTTGAAAAAAAAAAAAGGCTAGAGAGACAGCTCAGTGGTTAGGAACACTTGCTTTTTCCAGAAGACACAAGTTCAGTTCCCAGCACCCACATCAGGCAGCTCATATTGTTAACTCCAACTCCAGGGGATCCAATAACCCTCCTCTGATTTCTGGAGATACCCACACACTCATGGCATAAATACGTAGATATACACATAAATAAAAAGAAATCTAAAAACAAACATAAAATCTCAGAAGACAGTGACTCTGGCAGATCTCCGTTTGAGGCCAGCCTGGTCCATGTAGGAAGTTCTAGAACAAATGGGGCTACACAGTCTATCTCAGAAAATGAAACAAAACACACTCAAAACAACAACAAAGCCAACAAGAAAAGAGTCTTGCAGCAGACCCGGTGGTTCCCAGCACTCACAGCAGACAACCCACAACCACCTCAACTCTAGTTCCGGGCATCCAATACCCTCTTCTGGCCTCTGCAGGCACCTGCACTCATGTGCACATACCTCCCCAGCCCACAGTGAATATGTATATAATCTTAAAAGTAAGTTCAAAGTGGGGCTGGAGAAATGGCTCAAGTGGTTAAGGGCACTGACTGTTCTTCCTGAGGACCTGGGTTCAAATCCCAGCACCCACATGGCAGCTCACAACTGTAACTCAAAGATCTGACAATCTCACATAAACACACATAGACATATGGGCAGGCAAAACACCAGTGCACATAAAATAAAGGTAAATAACATTTTAAAGTGTTGATACACGTCACCCTCTCCAGTGCCTTGGGGAGCAAGACCCATGGTACAGTGGACTTCTGCATTGGGGGTGACATTCTCAATGGCCTCTGGCTGAACCTCCAGGGTGAATAACATCCCATCGGTTTGTACAGCTGCTGTTCCAACTTTCTTTCTCTGCAAAGCCTGCAGAGCGGCTAATCCAGCCCACACCCTAAATGTCAGAGGCAGAAGCACCTGCTTGCCCCACGACCCCTCCCCAGCAGCCCTTTCCCTTACAAGTATGCTTTTTCTTGGGTCTCATGCTTTTTTGGCTGTTTTGTAGCTCTTGTTGAACCTTCTGCTCCAGAAATTCCTATTTCCTCCTCCTTCTTGTTTGTTTTTCGAGACAGGGTTTCTCTGTATAGCCTTGGCTGCCCCGGACTAGCTCTGTAAACCAGAATTGCCTGGAACTCACAGAGATCCACCTGTCTCTGCCTCCCTGAGCACTAGGATTACAGGCGTGTGCCACCACACCCGTCTGACGAAATTCCTATTTCTTAATAAATATCTCTTCTGTCTCCTTCAGTTCCTGTATTCCTTCTTCAGGAGTTAGATTTTTTTTTTTTCTCTCAAAAGTCCAATGGAGCAGGGCAGTGGTGGCACATGCCTTTAATCCCAGTGCTCAGAAGGCAGAGGCAGGTTTCTCTCTCTGAGTTTGAGGTCAAACTGGTCTACAGAGAGAGTTCCAGAATGGCCAGGACTGCAGAGAAAACCCGTCTCAAAAAAGCACACAAAAGAGTCCAAGGAAACAAACTCATATTGTGTGGAAGAAAAGTGTTAGGCCCACCATGAGCCTAAATTTTCAGAAAGGATGAAGAGAACTCAGGAGACCAGATCTCATGGATGCAAAATCGCAAGAGGTTTATTTTAACCATTGCACAATGGGGTCACCCCTGCCGGTCAGCAAAGAGTGGCCCCGGGAGACAAAGGCCTTGGGTTTTTAAAAGACAAGGCACGGAAATTTTGAGGTTGCAGTCTTGGCAATTCAGGATTGGATGAGGAAGCTATAAAGTAAGATTATTGGTTAGTCTTAGGTGCTCAAGCTTGGCCAGTCCTGCCAAGTGTGGATGCAGCTGCAATTGAAGGTGGGGTGGTTAGCTCATCCTTGAAGATTTGGCTGGAGGTCAGGGGCTACTCAGAAGAAGGATTGAGGCCGTCTGGGTTGGTTGCTAAGAAACACTATCTTGAAGACAAGGGTCTGGTCGTTCTTTTTGCTGAATGAAGGTCATTGCTTGCTTGCTCATTTTTTTTATATCTGTTCGAACAGATAGGGTCACATTCCTCCATTCTCTGGAAAGGTACTAAGAGGCTTTAGCTTAACTTGGACCTAAAACTCAAAACTATAGGCTTTAGAAGACATACAGGTTACAAAGTTAGTCTGACCCTTTCAAAAGTATTAGTCACCAATCACTGAGTACACAGTATATGCTAGGTATTTCTGTCACTGCTCCTCTCTAAATGATTGTCTACAATGAATGTATTGGTGTCACTCGACAGATGTAAGAATAAGCACAAAGATGTAAATGTTTCTGTCTGAAGTCATAACTAGTAGGCTCAGTAGATTAAGAGTAGTCAAACATTGTGCTGGGCATGGAGGCACATACCTATAACCCAGCACTTGGAAGGCTGCTGCAGGAGGATAGTTGCAAGTCTGAGGCCAGCCTGAATGTGAGTTGAGGTCAGCCAAAACTATATATAGTAAGACTCTTTAGAAAACAAAACCAAACATACAAAAGCAAGCAAACTCAAAAGGCCATGTTCTTTTTCTCTTCTATGCTTCATTTCAAGTCACAGTTGATGACCATTGTCCCACTTGCTCTTTTAGGAGATGTCAAAGGTCCTGCTCTACATGATCAAACTAAAGGAAGTTTAAGGGACTGGGGTGCAGGGGAAACAATGTGACTTCAATTTCTTCCTCTATCTTTTATATTTGAATGATAACCTTTGCAAATAAAAGCCTGGTGGTAGCCAGGTGTGGTGGCACATGCCTGTAATCCCAGCACTCTGGGAGGCAGAGGCAGAGAGGCAGGCAGAAAGGCAGAGGAGAGGCAGAGAGGCAGAGGCAGGCAGATCTCTTTGAGTTCCAGGCCAGCCTGATCTACCAAGAGAGTCCTGGACAGCCAAAGCTACACAGAGAAACCCTGTCTCGAAAACAGAACAAAAAAACCTGGTGGCTTCTGCCTGCTTAAAACCCTTCTATATTCTCTTAATTGGTGACAGGCAAAAATCCAAAAATGCTTCTGGAATATGCAAGATCCTTCATGATCTGTTTACCGCTCCATCAATTCTTCTACATCCTGTCCTTTATTTATTTTGCTGTCTTAAAAAGCTTTATTTTTGCTTGGTCCAAGACTTGAGAGGGGCTTCAGGGCGGTTACAAAGCTGCCTAGTGGCGTGAGAGGTTTACTCAGGGAGGTCCCTAGGGCTGGCTGGTGCAGAGCAGAGGAGGAGCCCCTTGGAAGGTGAGGCTGCCTCCTAGTCGTGCTTCAGAGTGAGGCGCTCAAAGAGATACTCGCCCGGAGAAGGCTGTGGCCCAGCCAGCCTGCGAATGTTGGTCAGGTGGTCCCCCATCTTCTTGATGAGCTTCACCTCCTCATTCAGGAAGTGATTTTCCAAGAAGTCACAGAGATGAGGGTCTGTGCGGGCAGAACCCAAGGAATGAAGATCCAGGAGGGCCTGGTTCAAGTTCTTCTCCAGGGCCAAGGCAGCTTCCATGGCCTCCTGGGTTTTCCCCCACTCATCTTGAGATGGCTTCTGCACATCCTGGAAGAGTGCGCGGCCCCCGCGATCGTTCTGCAACTTGAGCCGCTCGGCGCCCTCGCACTTCTCCTCAGCCAGTTCTCGGAAGAAGTGGCTCACGCCCTCCAGGGCCACGTCATCCCGATCAAAATAGTAGCCCAGAGAGAGGTAGGTGTAGGACGCCCGCAAGTGCAAGTTGACCAGGCGGTTCACGGCAGCTTCCACCTCGGTGGAGTAATTCTGACGAACCTGGGAGGTCATGGCTGATCGCGGTACGGAGCTGAGCGCGAGACGGCGCTGGCTGATCCTGGGGGCCGAGGGCGGCGAGGAGATGGTCCCGGAGGCTGCGGCTGCAGAGACAGGGGGAGGGCAGCTGGAAGCTCAGGGGAGTCCCCGGGTCTGCTCCGTCCAATCACTGTTGAAGCAAGACGCAGATCCACGGGACCTCCAAGGCCCATCCTGTCCTTTTTATATACCCCACATCCCACAAACGGCCAGAAGAGTGAAATTACTGTTCTCCTGCTTGTTTGCTTTGTTTTTCCTGCTTGTTTCTTGAAGGCTCCTTCCCAGAGTTACCTCAATGCTACACCTGGCAAACAGCCTTTTGAACATGGTGTCCAGCGCCTATTTCTATGCTGTCTTGGTTTTTTAGGATCATCTCCATCACTTAGTTGCCATACTATACTGGCAATGACTTTTCTAGACAACCCATATCACCAGATATGAGCTTAAACAAGATCATCCTGCTTCTTCATTTTAGACCTCTTTTATTCATACCAAGTAAGCTACAATATTTTAGAAAAGACTGGAAACCAATCCCCGTAAGCCGTGCCCAGGAGCTAACAGTGACCACGTCTTCCATTCACATCCCCACTCATTCCAGTTCAAGGCAGGAAGCTGGAGAAAGTTGGCCGCCTGGCACCAGAGAGTTGCTGGGCTTGGTGGAGGACTGGGCTTCCAGCCCCGTGCCATGGTGTTCCCATTCCCTTCTGGCCAGCATGTCCCAGTAGCCCAGTGTCTGTAATTTCATCCTTCCAAAAGAGCCCATTCTTGACAGCTTCACTTCTCCCACCTCCGCCCCTGTGATTGCCCAACTTCATCATAAGTCTGAGACAGGCCTTGGCCAATCCCTCCAGGGCATAGCCGTGACATCATCAACAGGCACAGTTCAAACCAGGGTGGCACAGAACCAGGCTGTTGGGTTGGCTCACTCCTCTTAAAGTGGCTGCATTACTCCCTACTTCCAAAATGGCTGGCCCCAACTTAACTCCCAAATGGTATTAGCTTTTATTCCCTAGAAGAAAACGTACAGCCTCAGAGCTCCCCATTATGTGAAGAAGCAGTTGGAAGAGGACTCGGGATGGGTCCCAACGTGAGTGTACGACCTGATACCTGATGCAATCTAATCTCCTACACTCTGGCCAGGGTACTTTAGGGCAGGCAACCCCAGTTTACACGTTAGAAAAGTGAAAACAACACACACTGTGGGTAAAACTTTGACTGTCACACATGGGCACTTGAATAAATTACAAATGCACCTGACAAGGCTTTCTTGACTTCTCAGTTTTATACCTCAGAAGAGGCTTATTCACAGGGTCAGACCTCAGGGTCCAACTTGGGTCTTTGCAAATTTCTCTAATCCTTGAGTTAACACTTGAAGATTCATTCCGTTCTTGGTGTGAATGCAGGTAACGCCTGGAAGAGAAAAGCAGTCACATTTTACCAAGCTTTCAAGACTTACTAGTACTCTCATCTGCCAAACACTATCCATCCCACACTTGTTTCCCGACATCCTTCTAAGAACCCTTTCTCCTCAACCCCCCGCCCCCAGGGGTGACTCAGTACCAAGTCTGCCAATATCGATGATGTTCCGCTTCTCATCATCAAAGAAGACCATCTGAGAGAAAGGGAATCCAGTCATGTGGTGCAACCTGTGAAAGAAAGGGCAGGGGCAAGCCAGCTGCCACGCTGACCTCCTCTTTGGGACTCCTCCTGCCCCCACGCTTAGCTGTCTGCCTACCTCTCAAAGTGTGTGACTTTGCTGCCTGGATAGATTTCCCGATAAGCAAAGTACTTGACAAGGTCAAAGAGCTCCAGCTCCCTTCTATCTCGCCTGTCCTAATAAACGAATAATAATAATAATAAAAAAAAATGAATAAGAAAGAAAGCTACATGAGTGCCAGAGTTGTGAGCAAAGTTAGGTACAAGGAGTTAAGGGGACAAATTGGCTCACTGTTATTCAATACTAGAAATTCTGACATCCCTGGCACTGAGCCAATGTTTAATAATTTAAAAGTACAGAAAGCTAGAAAGCAAATGATAAAAAAGCAACAAAGGGCTGAGAGATGGCTCAGAGGTTAAGAGCACTGTGTGCTCTTCCAGAGGTCCTGCGTTCAATTCCTGGCAACCACATGGTGCCTCACAACTATCTATACTGGAATCTAATGCCCTCTTCTGGCCTGCACGTGACATGCAGATAAAGCACTCATATATGTAAATAAAGTAAATAAATCTTTAAAAAAAGAAGAGAAAAACAACGAAAGCCGGGCAGTGGCACGCCTTTAATCCCAGCACTTGAGGCAGAGGCGGGAAGATTCTGTGAGTTTGAGGCCAGCCTGATCTACAGAGCAAGTTCCAGGACACCCAGGACCGCACAGAGAAACCCTGTCAGGAAAACAATAACAACAACAAAGGAGAAGGAGGAGAAGAAGGAGGAAGAAAGAACGAATAGGAAGATTAGGAAGAAAGGAGGAGGAAAAGAGAGAGAGAAGCCATGAAAATATTTGTACACTTGCACCTGACTTTTGGTACATGCAATTTCCTTATGTTAGTGACGAGTCGCAGGACAGTCTGTCACTTTTCTTACCGTGAAGCAGCGGCAACTGGCACTCCAAGGCTCTGCAATCTTTCCAAGACCTGGGGTACCTCCGGGTACAGTAGGATGTTCTTGCCCCGCCTATCTCGTATAGTTCCATCCCTGGAGAGGGTGACATAACGCTCAGCTCCCGCGAGGTCCTCCCTGGCTACACACCTCCCTATTGGCTCACCTGTTCTTGTGGAATGGGGGGTCTACGTGTGTATCAACCCAGAAAGGCCAGAGCGTGTAATCTGCGAGAGGAAGGAGGGAGAAGGGTCAACCTGGCGCCCAGACACTTAACTACCGCGGGGAGCGGAAGAGGGAAGCGCCTTACTAAATTCTCCCAGCCGTTCCTCACCCAGATCAAGGACCACTAGCTTTGGCAACCGCGTCATGGTCCACCCGCAAACCCAAACTTGGCGCTGAGCGAACCCCAACTCTATGGTGGCCAAGCAGGCGGCGGGCGGGCCACAGAGAACCGGCAGCAGAGACTAGAGCGTCGCCTCCGCAGCCCGCGGAAGGGCGCCTTCGGAGGCTCTGCGGGAAGACTTACCGCTGCGGGCGACCGCACCTTTCTCCAGGCACTGCCGCGGGCTTTCCCTTCCTGCAGCCCCCAACTCAGCACTCTCCGCTACAGAAACCGCGGAAGCTTTCTGGCCGCACCTCTACCTTGGAATTGAGACCTCATCTTATCAGTTTATTACTCTGCGCTCATCTTGTCTTCACATCAGCGTCTTGATAGTATAAAAACTAGCCTTCAACGACAGTGAAAGCAAAGGATGTAGTGTGTGCACCACTGACACGTGTGCCTTAACCACAGCTACACAGGAGGCCTGGGGGGGGGGGGGGGCTGTTACTGTACCTAGGAATTGAGATCAGCACCGACAATGAAAATCTACTCTCTTAAAGGGAGTTGGGGGCGTTTGTAAGGTCTCTGAGACTTTCTCCAAGCCAGCGTGAAGGTCCAGCAGGGCTGCGCTGGAAGAGAATTTCTTCCCTTGGTTTACACGACACTCGGCAACAGCATGCTCGCAGATGTGTGAGTTTGTAGGAAGGAATTTGTGGTGTTTGCCAGCCTCTGAAACTATTCTTGCCAGAGACAACTGCGGGTTTGTTTTCCCCCTTCTTCCTTCCTCAAGACAGGGTCTCACCGTGTAGGCAAGGATAGCCTTGAACTCACCATACACCTAGCTTACACTGCTCTGGATTCTTGATTCTCATGCCTCAGTTTCCAGTGCTGGAATTACAGGACTGAGCCACCACACCTAGCTACCATGGCTGATTTCAAGTTACCAACACAGCCACTTAACATGGAGTCAGCAAGTGACAACACTTGATGTAAAAGCATGGTTTTTCTATGCCTGCCCTTGCTCTGAATAATGACATGGAGACCTTTATACTTATTAAACGCTTCAGGTTTTTACTTATTAATACTTATTAATAGCTGGGCAGATACTCAGCTACTCTAACCTGATAATACTGGCCTGGCCTACTTCCCAGCCATGTGGCCTGTCACCTCCCATCTTAGCCTCCATCCAGGCACCTCCTTCATCTATGTCCTGATGGCTGACTTTCCTCTCATACCCACCTGAAAGCCTCCCACCAGGTTCAGAAGTCTCTCCTTTTTCTCTCCTGCCCAGCTATTGGCTGTCCAGCTCTTTAACCAATCAGAAGGTGATGGAGAACAATGTTTACAGATTACTAAAACAGGAGATGCTTCATAATGACAATACTCAAGTCAGATCTCTGCTGCTGGCACACAAATCAGAATTTGAATACACAGCACAGAAAAACATCACTCTAGTAACTTGGCACTCCTGAGCTTGTAAGAGCTGACTGCAGTACAACACTGAGTAGGCTTTCCTAGCTAATGATCCTTCTAGTTATGAGGACCAAACACTATCTGAGCTTGTTTCTCAGGTGGAGTGCAAAAGCAGGCTAAACTGACATTTACAACTTTGAATACTTCCTCTGGGCTCAGTGTGTTCATCTATACACGAGACACGACAACATCCCCATCCAGGATCATTTGGGATAATGGGTAAAATGTTTTTCAACTGAAAAGCTATGCTGGAGCCAAGTGGTGGGGCATGTCTGTAATCCCACTCACTAGGGAGGCTAAGGCATGAAGATCAAAAGTTGAAAGCACACTGGGTGTGGTGGCCCTCTACTTAATCCCAACACTTAGGAGGCAGAGGTAAACAGATCTCTGTGAGTTCAAGACCAGCCTGGTTTATTGAGTTTCAGGACAGCCAGTGCTACATATAGACTCTTGTCTCAGAACAAACAAGAGTTCAAAGCAAGCCTGGGATACCTATCAAAAACCTGTTTCAAAATAAAGAATCATCCAGGCTGATGGCACATGCCTTTGACCCCAGCACTCTTAGGGCAGACAAACTCACAAGTGGATCCTTGTGAGTTTTGAGGCCAGTCTGCAAAGCATGTTCTAGGCCAGCTACAAAGTTGGAGACTGCCCCTAAAAGCAGCACCCTTCCACCGTCCTATTTCTACTGGTTATCACTGTGTCCATTTTAATCTCAGTACTTTGTAGCAAAAAGAAAGATTCCAGAAGGCCAGGAAATATTTTATTGACAACCAAGGGCACAGCCATAAGAGAGGGAAGCACACAGGACTGCAAACTAAAACCCAACAGCCAGCAAGGGCCATTTGGGCCAGGAACACTGCACTCTGGGGGCCTCACATTCTCCCACCAGTAGACACACAAGATTGGGCATCCGAGGGAGGGGGCAGTAGTTCTGGTGTCCCAGAGAGTGAGAGGATACGTGATGCTTCATTATGAGCGACAGGGAGAGGATGTAAAATGGAACCAAGGTTCATCATTGCCCGAGACCACCGCCTCCTCTAAGAGCCAACACCAGGTGGAGGACGGAACCACCTAGAATCTTGTAATCAGCTGCCGTCTTCTCATCATTCCTACAGAGGAAAAAAGCATTAAAAATACCATCTACAACACTCATCTGTAACCAGTATTTTGTGGATCTCTTTGGGAAATTGGATAAGAAAAATACACTTTACTTTTACTAACCTCTAACTGTAATTAGGATTTGATTTTGAACAAAGACAAAAAGACCCACAGTGTTAACAGTATGGTAACTTACACAATTGAAATTACGTATCTTTACATTACATTATGACTGCTTGCAGGTATCTTGAAAATTTAAAAAGAACAATAACGATGAAAAAAAGTTATCAGACCCATCATTAGACCTTACAATAAACTATTAATAAAGAGCTGGACACAGTGGTGATGACTATAATCCCAGCACTCAGGGAGGCAGAGGCAGATGGATCTCTGTGAGTTCGAGGCCAGACTGGTCTACAAACCGAGTCCAGGACAGCCAGGGCTACACAGAGAAACCCTGTCTCAAAAATTAATTAATTAATAAATAAAAAGATATCAATAAAGAGAGCTGAAAAGATAGCTTGGTAGTTAAAGCTCAAATCGCTCTTGCAGAGGACTGAGTTCAGATCCTGGTACCCACCCACTTCAGGGTGCTCACAATCTCCAAGGGGACCTGACAGCCCTGAATTCTGAGAGCACCTGCACTCAAGTATGTTTATATACTCAAGTGCATACATCTATAAACATATACATAACTGAACATAATTTTACAAATATATTAATAAAGCATATATTCTACACATTTGTTTCAATATTGGCTTTAGACCTAAAGGCAGGGACATCCTGAAGTAGTGGCAGGCCTGATGGCCCTCTAGCCTTGTCGCCTTTCCCTTTATTCATCCTCACACAAGACTGCTAAGCCCCCTTTCCATCCCAACTCTCACATCTGTTTGCCACTGTAGATGAGCCGCTGCTGTTGTGGGGGAATTCCCTCTTTCTCTTCCACACGCTCCTTGATTCGCTCCACCTTTGGAGAACAAGTGGTCAGAGGCTGCTTAGAATTATAGAAATATTAACAACAAGGGCTGTGTAGACAACATGAGAACAAAGGCCCCAAGGTCATAAGCACAAGCAAAGAAACAAAGAAGGGAGGTTAAACATGCTAAGCATACATCACCTTGTCTGTGGGTTCAATGTCAATCTCAATCTCCTTTCCAGTCAGCGTCTAAAACAGACAAAGATTTCATAAATCCCGCAGCTCAAAATCAACTTGTCTTCTGCGGTGGACTGAATGAGAATAGGCCATGTTTGAATACTTGGTCCATAGTTGGTGGAACTGTCTGGGAAGGATTAGGAGGTGTGGCCTTGTTGAAGGAGGTGTGTCACTGGGGGTTGAGAGGAGCTTTGAGGTTTCAAAAGCCCAAGCCATTCCCAGTCAGCTCTCTTTTGGCCTCATGCTTGTGGATTGAGACTTGAGCTTTTAGCTTCTGTTCCAGCACCATGCCTGCCTGCCTGTTGCCATGCTCCCTGCCATCATAGTCATGGACACCCTCTGAGACTGTAAGTCCCAAATTAAAAGCTTTCTTTTTATCATGGTGGTTTTTTTTTTTTTTTTTAACAATATAAAAGACATCTTATTCTTTTTATTATTTTTTTTTGGCTTTTCAAGACAGGGTTTCTCTGTATGGCCCTGGCTGCCCCAGAACTACTCTGTAGACCAGGCTGGCCTTGAACTCAGAGATTTGCCTGCCTTTGCCTCGAGAGTGTTAAGATTAAAGGGGTACATCCTACCAACACGACCTGGCAAGACATCTAAGTACATCTTATCTTGGTCTTCAGGATTCTCTCTTTTGAGAGATGTATATTATCAGCAAAACTACCTTGAATCAGAAAGCTTGCACCATAGCAGTGACATCAGGGAATGTAGGATTCTGTGAACCATTTGATTCCCTTAAAGCTGCAAGTCATCTTCTGATCTTCACCCCCTCTCAAAATCAGCAAGATTATCAGGGCTTCAGATGAGACAGCCACGACAAGTGATCTAAGTAAAGCTGTCCTTCAGGTAAGAACTTTATTTCAGGACAGAAATCACTTAGATAATGCAAAGAATTCGCAAGGACGCAAGAAATCACTGCCAGCTAGGTTTTTTATTTGTTTTTTAATGCTAGAGTTCAATATTATATTCTTTCCTATGTGTTCCAAAATTCTGTCTAAATCTTAAACTACAGCTCAAATTGCTTGATTTCCACAGGCTAAAGCCAGATAACAAAATATATTTGTGTACAAACTAGACACTTGTGTTTCATACAATATAATCTCTCATCCAGCCTGGCTCTTTTGTTTGCTTTGACTAGGCAGCCCACACTGGCCTGGAGCTCACCACATGTCTCCGGCTGACCTCAGATGTGTAATGCTCTTACTTAAATGCCCCCTAGCTAAGGGGACAACAGGTACAGGTGACCCTGACGGCTCCTGTACCTGCCCTTGCAGAAACAGCTGAAGAACTAGCAGTGACCCTGACCACAAAAGCCACATTGGCCTAGTTCAGGGGTGTTTTTTGCTTCAATTTTCCTTAATACCCTCCTTTATCCCTTCAAATTTCAAGGACTTTTAATACGATTTCCCAGCAAGATGTCTCAATGAGTGGAGGCACTTGTCACCACACCCAGTGACCTAAGTTCAATCCATGGGTTCCACATAGTAAGAGACAAGACCAGTTCCCACAAGTTGTCTTCTGACCTCCACATACTGATACAAATACACTCACAGACACACAACACATAAACGTAATTTTTAAATTTCTTCTCTATAATGCCTTTATCTATTGCAGTGAATGTCATTAACACTTTTAACACCAATAACCACCTTTTTTACTCAGGCTAACCTCAGATTCACAATGTAGCTCAGGCCAGCCTCAAACTTGAGATCCTCCTGTCTCTACTTTCCAAGTATTAGAAATAGAGGTGCGTTCTACTACCACTGATTTATTTTTTAAACCTTTATTTTTATTTTATGTGTATAGATGTTTTACCTGCATGTGTGTCTGTGCGCCACATGCATACAGTGCCTGTGGAGGCCAGAAGAGGGCATCAGGTCCCCTGGAACCATCATGAATGATTATGAGCTGTCATGTGAGTGCTGAGAATCAGAAGCTAGGTCTTTTGAAAGGGCAATCACTACTTTTAACTCCAGACTCTCCCACCACTAGATTTCCCAGCTGGGTATAGTGGCACACATCTATTATCCCAGCATTCCTGGATACTGAGGCCAGTCTTGCTGTCTTGCTAGGACACATAGCAAGATCCTATCTCAAAAGCACAACACTAAGGCTGGAGATGTAGCTCAGCCAGTAGAGTGATTGCCTATCATGCATGACAGCCTGGGTTTGATAAGAAACTGGATAAGCTTGGTACAACAGTGCAGACCTGTAATCTCAGCCCTTGGCGGATAGACACAGGAAGATAAAAAGTTCAAGATCATCCTTAGGTACACAGGTCAGGGTTAGTCTGAGATGGTATCTTGCCTTTTTGTTTTGTTTTGTTTTTCGAGGCAAGATTTATTTATGTAGCCTTGGTTGTCCTAGATTCAATTTGTAGAACTTAACAGAGATCTGCTTACCTCTGCCTCCCAGAGTGCTAGGATTACAGGCGTGTGTCTCCTCGCCTGGCTTGTTTGTTGGTGTTTTGAGAAAAGGTCTCACTATATAATCAAGGCAACTAGAAAGGTCAGCTACTACAGGATGGGAGGTAAAGTAACAGGCTCCCTGAAACACAATCTGACAGTTTGACAGCTCTTTGCCTGGAATTCCAGTACTCAGGAGGCAGAGGCAGGTGGATCTCTGTGAGTCTGAGGCCAGCCTGGTCTACAAAGTGGGTCCAGGACAGCCAAGACTACACAGAAACCCTGTCTCAAAAAACAAAAACAAACAAAAAAAAGAAAGAAAGAAAGAAAGAAAGAAAGAAAGAAAGAAAGAAAGAAAAAAAAGAAAACACTTGTCCACAAAAAAGACTCTTGTATTAAAAATGTGGGATGCACATTCCCCCTTCCTCAGGACTGTCATTATAGATATGAGCACCTAAGACCCATATATATACCTAAGACACAGATATCAACATTGATTCATAACAGTAACAAAATTACAGTTATGAATTAGCAACAAAAGCAATTGTATGGTTGGGGTCAGAAAACCTGAGGGACTGTATTAAAGGGTCACAGCCTTAGGACGGTTGAGAACCGCTGCATTAGAGGAAGCATGATTGTATGAAAACTTGCAGGTATCACAGAGAAAGTTAATAAAACCCCAGATGGGAATGGGCAAGAAAGTAAAGCAGAAATTGCTTTCATACAAAAAATAAGGACCTATATGGGCCTATAAAAAAAGAATTGACTCAAGAATTGTGTTTCAGATACCTGGCAGACTAACATGATTAACATTTGATCAAGATAATGAAAAAATAACTTATGATAGAAGACAACGCATTTTATTTTAGTGTCAGAGATTTTCGTGCAGAAATGGTCTGGGTGGTAGCTAGCATACACAATGCCCTACCTGGCTGGGCATGATGGTGCATGCCTGTGATCCCAGCACTCAGGGAGACAGAGGCAGGCAGATCTCTGTCTACAAAGCGAGTTCAGGACAATCAAGGCTACAGAGAGAAATCTTGTCTCAAAAGACCAAAAACAAATGAAAACAAAACCCCACAATGTCCTACCCTTCTTTCTTTCCTAATGTGACTGTTCTGTCTGCATGTGCACCTGCACGCCAGAAGATGGCACCAGATCCCCTTTTTATTGTGGTCATGATCCACAATGTGGTTGCTGGGAATTAAACTCAGGACCAGTGGAAGATCAGATAGTGCTCTTAACTGCTGAGTCACCACACCAGCCCCATCTCTACCCTATTTCAAACAAAACAAAACCAGAAAGGAATAAATTGTGAAGGAGAAAGTAGTAGAGAAAGATAGGCAAGAAATCAGCAATATAGAGAAGCAGCTGAAAAGCAATTTTAAAAGACCACTATTAGAAGCTGAAAATTTGGCCCGGTGTGCTAATCCCAGCACTCAAGGAGGCAGAGGCAGGTGGATCGGATGTGAGTTCAAGACCAGCCTGGTCTACAAAGCAAGTCCAGGACAGCCAAGGCTACACACACACACACACACACACACAAACCCGTCTCAAAACAAAACAAAACAAAACAAAACAAAACAAAAAACACCTTGCATGTCTCAAAATTTTAACAGGTAGCCACATTAGAAAATATGTAATGGGGCTGAAGAAAGTTAAGAGCACTTACTGCTCTTGCAAAGAACTCAGGTTCCATTCCCAACAATCACATGTTTCACAATCATTTGAAACTGTAGTTCCAGGGGATCCAACACCCTCTTCTGGCTTCATGGTGCACTAAACACACATAATACACCAACATACATGTAAATAAAACACCTATATAGATAAAATAAAGGTCTCCTCTCCCCAAAAGAGATGAACTAGTAACATACACATAAAATGAAAACCATCACAAAACAATACCTTTACCCACCAGTACACCCACCCTCTTTCATCCTGCAGAACATAAGCATAGATACTGACATTTAAAATTTTTAAGCTATTAATTTCTGTATTTTGTGGTGTTGAGAATCAAATGGAGATTTCACATATGCCTGGAAAGCAGTCTACCTCAGATCCGTGCTTCCCCCCACTCCCCTCCTTTCTTTTCCTTCCTTCCTAGTTTTTGCTTGTTCGAGCCAGGGTCTCTAGATGTAGCCCAGACTGGCCTCACCCTTCAGCCCCTCCAGCCCCGGCCTCCTGAGCACTGGAACTTCAGATATCACCCATCACTAATATTTTTATTATTGAACTGGTTGCAGAAGGCGGGGGGGACTATTTGGGAGGAGAAAAGAGGCCATTTGTGGGAGATAAAAGAGGAAAATGATGAAGGGTATTAGCAAAACACAAGGATACACATGCATTAAAAAAAAACTCTCAATGAGACCTATTACTGTATACACTAAAAACAATGAATAAATAAAACGATGTTTAAGACTCAAAGACCTAGTATTAACTCATAGATTACCAATGTTTGAAAAACTGTAATCAACCTGCTGGCTTCAACTCTTAATTAAAATAGTTTTCTGGAAGGACTGGAGAAGACAAGGTTAACAACACCTGACATATACAGTAACTGAAGACAGACTTACACAGCTATTAAAAGTTGAATTGTCAGATTTGCGTCTCTGTCTAAACGTACAACGATAAAAACAGCAGAAAGGACGGATGAGGGTTTAAAACTGATGAAGAACTAAGGGAGTTGAAGGAGACAGAGTACCAAAGAAGTGAGGCTGGTTTTTAATGTCCAGCTCTGACAGGAAAGTGCCAAGTGGTCACTCCTAGCTTCGCTACTGAACGATGGGTGAGGTGCTAACCTTGGCAACCACCAGCAAAAGCTCGTAGTCTAGCTGCTGAGTGGCCCTTACTTTCCCCAGACTAATCCTTCCGTGCTGTGCTTTGGAGGCAGCCCTTGTTAGGGTTTGGGGGAAGTATGCAACCTAGGCATGAAGAATGGGGGACAAAGCTTTTTCTGGGATGAGGAGCCAAGCCGCTGCCAGGCCTTTTTTTTATGACTGCAAGGGCGCGAATACAGTGAGACCAGGACACACGCAGCCTCCTTCTATGTCACAGCACAGACCTGGCAGGGAAGTAGGGAAGGCAAACACCCGAGATCTTCAGGCAGGACAGGCCTCTACCGCTCCAAGCCTCCCGGGGTCCCTCTAGTTCCCATCACGCCTCGCGCAGGGGCCCGAGGGTGTCAGCCCTCTTAAGTTCAGGAAAGGCAAGGTTTCCCTACCCGCCTCTCCCCTAAGTTGCAGCGGCCGACCCAGCACTACTGAGTCTTGGCAAGCCTGGAAACGCTCCCACCTTCACTTTAATTAGCATCTTCTTCCCAGGTTGGGGCTGCAGGCGGCTAGAGTGCTGATTCTCCCGCTGTGGTCGCCGCTGCCACTTCCCAGCACGCCACGGCGAGGGACACTTCTGCTTCCGGGTCACTCTCCGGATCCACCCTCTCTTCTTTCCAACTCCGTTCCCGAAAGGCTAGGGAATGCCCTCGTGTTTCGTGTCAGTGGCGTTGTAGAGAAAAAGCAAGCCGGCTTAGGAACAGCACAGACGACGCCCTGAGGCCTCGCGCGTACCCAGAGAGCTGGGGTTAGCGGCGAGCTGGAGTAGAAGAAACTACTTTTCCCATCATGCCAGGAGGCAGCTCCGCCCTTTGCATCTTAGGAGATGTAGTCCTCCTGCCGCTCGCACCCAACGGCAACCTCAGTGTGTGGACTCTGTTACCCAGAAGGCCTTGCACAGCGCCCGAAGCTGGAATTTCTTGGGTAGTCGGACTTGCAATTAGCGGAACTTGTTGGTGGTGCCCTGAAGGCTCATCGAGGCTGCACGCGGCTAGTTGCTAAGCAAAAGAATCTTTGGTCAACTGCCACCTGAATCAAAGCAACAGGAAGTGAGTACCCCTATGCCGGAAGCGGGTTGAAATCTCTTTTCTCCTCCCTTAGTCAGCTTCTTATTCTAAATTGCCCTTTTCGGGGGAGGGAAAAGGAAGACTTGACGGTTAAGGAAAGCCCCTTTAGAGATCATAATCTCTTCCCAGTTCTTCCTAATAATCATACCTGGGATTGATGTATTAGGGTAATCCAGACACTGAATGGCCCCAGCGAGACTTCAAGGACCACACCCTAACCTCACTACGAAATTTAAGCGTGATAGGTGGCCCGTGTCCTAGGTCATCAAGACAGTAAGGCCCACAGTGGACTTGGTTCAGATAGTCTTACTTCCCAGTTTTATAACCTTTCAATTTTTTTATCCAACTCCAGCCCTGCATTATGCCTCATATTGACAATGACGTGAAACTAGACTTCAAGGATGTCCTGTTGAGGCCCAAACGCAGCACCCTTAAGTCTCGAAGCGAGGTGAGCCAGCTTCCTTGCTTTTTTTGACCTCAAACTACTAATGAAGCAGGACTAAGAAAGTTGCCCGTTTCTAATGTGGTAAGACTTTCTGGACGGATGAAATACTTAATATCCTGTTAATGCTTACAGGTAGATCTCACAAGGTCCTTTTCATTCCGGAACTCAAAGCAGACGTACAGTGGCATCCCCATCATCGCTGCCAACATGGATACAGTGGGCACTTTTGAAATGGCTAAGGTTCTCTGTAAGGTGAGACCAACTTGATGCCCCTACCAAATGTTCTCCCAATTGGCTGCAGAGGCTTTGCATCTAGACTCCCATTCTCTGGCAATTAACAGAACGTTGGGTTTTCTCTTTTTTCCATTACCGAGGACCCTTTGATCAGTTCAAAGATACATCTGAATTATATTCTTTTTTTTCTTTTTTCGGGGACACGGCTTTTCTGTGTAGCCTTGGCTGTCCTGGACTTGTTTTGTAGGCCAGGCTGGACTCCACAAGTGCTGGGATTACAGGCTTGTGCCACTACCTCTGGCTTAGTAACATTCTAAATTAGATTTTCACTTTCTGATTTATAGCTTCCATCCCATAAGTTATATACCTTACCAAATTCTCTCAGAGCCCACTCAGGTCAACCCAATCACATGCATCTTTTGAGTCAGTCATTTTGAACATTAAGCACTCATCGTTTAGTTCGGGAACTAAATACTGTTTTGAGTATTTACATTTTCCTACCTGAAATAGCATAAAGGGGTATATTAGTTTTCTTGTATGCCTATGATTCTTTTAATTTTCCCTTCTTTAAGTCCTAGATTCCTGGGAATTTCTGCAAGCTACCTCAAATGGAATTTTTTTCCTTAAATACAGGTTGTTCCTTTTGAAAATGGAAGACACTGTTCCTGCCAGTAATATTACTTGCCTCTATGCATGTAGCTGAGAAGGTAGATAGTTGCCTTGGCGCTTTTGAGAACATAATGTACTTTATTAGTTAACCCATGTAGCCCTACTTGATTGGTTCTATTTCTGGCTGTTAGCCTTAAACACTTTGATTTTTCTGTTTTTTGTGGAATGTTGTGCTTTCTCTGGGATTGGTAATTATGGAGTTTTATTACTTTATCCCTGTGGCTATTTATTAATTGTCCAGGAATCCTGCAGATACCTCACCTGCCTTCTCTGACAGACAGATTTGGGGAATGGCAGGTCTGTTAAAAGACATGCTGTAACATGTGAACCTTACTGAGGATTGGATTGCAATACTGTGGACAAGTGCTAAAGAAACCAAATTTTAGGAAATAAAGCCTAGTCTCAAGAATTGATTTAAAAAAAAAAGTTAGATACAGGGCTAGAGAGATGGCCTAGTGGTTTAGATCATTGAATGCTCTTCCAGACGACCTGTGTTCAATTCCCAGCCCCAACATGGCAGTTCACAACTGTAACTCTAAGATCTGACACCTTCATATAGACATACATGTGTGAAGCAGGCAAAATACCAATGCACATAAACAAAAATAAATTTAAAAAAAAATCAGATACAAGCAAACTTAGACTTGGCATGTATTGGGTGCTGTGTTTATTAGGCCAACATATCTCCAAGACCCACTGACCATCTAGAGCTTGTTTATAAATACATTGACAGTTGAATTTTACTGAGAAAGCAGAATACTGGCTTTTATGCATAGAACTTCCTTTTGCTGGCTGATCCTTGGGTTTCTTCTCACTTGCAAGATTTGTGCTGTTGACAACTATTGACTCTTTGGTTGCATGTCTGTGTTCAGAAAACAAAAACACTAGCATTGTCTCCTGAACGCCTTTCTCAGAGTATTGGGATATTGTTTGCAATTTCATGAGCCAGAGGTTTTTAAGCCTGGTAAGTCATTTCATTGATTGGTTTTTCTTCCGAGAGGCTTCTCTGTGTAGCCCTGGCTGTTGTGGAACTTTGCTTTGTAGGCCAGGCTGCCCTTGAACTTAAGAGGTCAGCTTGTCTCTGCCTCCTTAGTGCTGGGATTAAAGGCCTGTGTGCCACCATGGCCTGGGAGTTATTGTCTTTTTGAAGTTGCCTACGATAGAGGGCACTGATCTTTGCATTTGCATGTTTATGTTCCTAACATGAAAATCTGTTCTTTTCCAGCAAGGAATGGTGGGTATAGTATTTTTTTCTTACGTTTTGTTGTTGTTGTTTTTGTTGTTGTTCCTCTAGTCTTAAGCCTTTAACTTTGTGTGTCTAGACTTGTTGGACCTACTGCCAACAAGTAACCAGAAGAGAGAAAAACATAGATTTTAGTACTGCATCACCTTAGAGCTAAACATAGACACTCCATGTAACCTCTTTGTAGTTCTTCCATGTTCGCTACCTGTTTTATTGTAACAGAAGCACGTTCCTGTCACTGTTTAGTTTGTGGGCAATGAATGTGCTAGTAAGTTAAATCCAACCCAGAACACGGTGCTTCGGCAGGAATACTGGACAAGTTCCTAATGCAGGATAAGGGCTGTACAGCGATGTGCAGGATGAGGAGTGGCTGAGTCAGCTCAATCATCAACTTTCTTACACTACTTTTCTCTCGAATGCATCATTTCTCTCTCAGACAGCATAAAGATTTATGTAGAGTCTAATAGTTTTTGTCCTTTTTGATGGTTTTCTTCTCCCCAGTTCTCCCTTTTCACTGCCATCCATAAGCACTACAGCACCCATCAGTGGCAAGAGTTTGCTAGCCAGAATCCTGACTGTCTAGAGGTAAGTCTGAGCCCAACCTGCTCCCTGATCACTTTTCCAGAAATCCTTTTTTCTTAGATATCAACCCCCACCTTTAGTCCCTCTTGGCCACTTACTAGGTCACTTCTGATACAATGTTCTGATACAATGTCTAATGATCTTTTTCCACAGTATCTAGCTGCCAGCTCAGGTACAGGCTCTGCTGACTTCGAGCAGCTGGAACAAATCTTGGAAGCCATTCCCCAAATAAAATATATATGCCTGGATGTGGCTAATGGCTACTCGGAACATTTTGTTGAATTTGTAAAGGATGTACGGAAGCGTTTCCCCCAACACACCATCATGGTATGTTTCTATTTTTTGTTTTGTTGTGACAAGGTTTTTCTATATCTCTAGCTGCCCTAGAACTTACTCTGTGGACCAGGTTGGCCTCAAACTAAGATATCTGCCTGCCTCTGCCTCCCAAGTGCTGGAATTAAAGGCTTGTGCACCACCACAATCTGCTAGGTATGTTTCCATTATGCTATTGCTGATACTTTTGTCTCCTACTCTCTCCTGACATTCCATTTTGTTGTATCAGTTCAAGGCCAGTCTGGAGATTCTGTCTTAAACAACAACAAAAATTATCACATAAAACCATGTTTTATTGCTTAGAAGGTTATTAGAGACAAACCACAAGGCTTCATTTTCTTCACAGCACTGAAGGGGGGATGTTCACACTGTCCATGAAGAGTTGGGCAGGGAGATGTTTTAGCCCACATTTCAATCTGTCCTTTTTTTTATTTTTTCTGAAGGCACAAAGCTTCAGGACTGGGCAGTAGTCACCTGGTAGTGAAAGGGCGCTGTCAGATCTGAGTAGTGTTTCTCTGACTCACCAATTGCCACTTTATGTCTTGTGGACACCTTGCTACCTTAAAGGTCATTCTGGACCTTTTTTTGTTTGTTTTAACCCTAGTTCAATGACAACAATGGCCAGTCCCCTTACCTTCTACACTAAGTGGAAGTATGTACGTAGGGGTGAGGGGAAGAATGACTGGGAATCTAGGTCCTTTGAAGTTGGCGGATGGTCCCATAGAGGGGCTCTAGGTACCCATTATCTGTAATAAGGTCATAGTCAAGGCATGTATTATATGAGAGCACAAAGGCTGCTATCCACTGCTGACCCTAATGATTCTATTTTGATTATTGTCTCAGGCAGGAAATGTGGTAACAGGAGAGATGGTAGAAGAGCTAATCCTCTCTGGGGCTGACATCATCAAAGTGGGAATTGGTCCTGGTAAGCTGGTTCCTTGGGGTCGTATCTAACCCTTTGGTGGCAACAATCAATAGCACACTTCACTCCTGTTGCTCTCTTCCCAGGCTCTGTTTGTACAACTCGCAAGAAAACTGGAGTCGGCTACCCACAGCTCAGTGCAGTGATGGAGTGTGCAGACGCTGCTCATGGCCTCAAAGGCCATATAATTTCAGTAAGACTCAAGGGCTGGGGAGGGTTTGAGGCTGCCTAGCAGCTGTGTTTTCTGCAGTGTGTGGCTCTGGTACAGTCCCGGTCAGGACTTGAGTTCTTATCAATTTTGACATGGGCAGTTGAGAAGTCTTGAGAACTCCAAGCTATCTCTCAGTTTCTTTCTTTATAGGATGGAGGCTGCAGCTGTCCTGGGGATGTGGCAAAGGCTTTTGGTAAGGAGACTGGGAGAGCATGAAAAGAGGATCCTATAGAGAAGATAAGTCAACTCTAAGGGCCTAGAGCCAGGCTAGAAGCAGCTCAGGAAGCCATCCAGACTCCTAATATAATGCAGCGACCCTGAAACCTCAGGTGTTACCTGGGACAAGCTAGCAGAGAAGTCCTGAGATTTTGACTCTCCCAAGGGTGAGCCAGGGCCACCCATAATATCCCCTAGATTGCTGGACAATGTAATACAGATTTCTGCGCCTTACCTCCCACCTACAAAATCACCCTGAGGAACAGAACTACAAATCATTTTTCTGTTTCCCAGATGATCCTTAAAATTGGAGATTATTCTCTTGGGTCAAAGTCATACTTGGGAAGAGTAAAATGAAATCACCAGAAGACAGGAAAAGCAGAAGCCAGTCAGCGAATTTCCAGGTCTTTAAAAATCTTGAGGAAGTCAGTCGCACTGGGGAACAGAGGCCAGGGCAGAGCAACCCCAAGGAAGTATGGATCAGCTATGCAAACAGACCCAAGAAGATGCTGACTTGCTTATAAGTATGAAACTTATATGAGTTGTTTCTGAAGGTGCCTATATGGGTACCTTGGCCAGATGCACCTTTTCCAACCTCTCAATTTCGGCAGGAGCAGGGGCTGACTTTGTGATGCTAGGTGGCATGCTGGCTGGGCACAGTGAGTCAGGTGGTGAACTCATTGAGAGGGATGGCAAGAAATACAAGCTCTTCTATGGAATGAGTTCTGAAATGGCCATGAAGAAGTATTCAGGAGGCGTGGCTGAGTATAGGTATGTACAGAACAGAGGGCTAGCACCTGAGTATTCTTGGTGAATGTGACTCTATGGAAGATGGTGTCATTCCTCCTGGGTAATGTAGGGTATCATTCTCGAGAGAAAAAAGGGTGAGGGGGTTATAAATGAGAGACAGAGTCATTGGGCTTAAAGTGACTGAATTCTGAACAAGTAGCTAATAAAAGCTTTTCTTTTCCAAGAGCCTCAGAGGGAAAAACAGTAGAAGTTCCCTTTAAAGGGGATGTGGAACATACTATTCGTGACATCCTAGGAGGCATCCGGTCTACATGCACATACGTAGGGGCTGCTAAACTGAAGGAATTAAGCCGGAGAACTACTTTTATCCGAGTCACCCAGCAAGTGAATCCAATCTTCAGCGATTCCCGATAGACCTAAGAGGTCTACTTTCCTGAGCTAGCAACTTGGCCACTGGAGCCTCCCAGAAGGGCTTCTCACCCATCCCTGCTACTGTGGCTGTGTTACTTAATTTGGTTCCTATCCTCTTACTCCTGAGTGCTCCTGCAGTCACATATGCTTCTGTATCTGCACACACAAAATGCTAACGGCACTCAATGGAAAGGGGCAAGGAAGAAGATGTGATCGACAAATGGGAATCTGGGGATAGCACCCGGAAGATTAGAAGGAAAAGATTCTGATTGATACATAAATGCTATCCTTGATCTGGAAGAGAAGGCTTTTGAAATCATGTAAATCAGCTTCATTAAATGAGATTATCAGATACCTAAACAACTTAGAAGTTCTTAAATATTTGAAATACCTTAATAAAGATAGATCCTATTGATGGTAAAAAGATGCTGGGATTTCTGCACAGGTTGGCATCTAGACGCTCCTCCTGGGCAAAGATGGGATTAACCCTGATCCAGTGTGATCAAGAACAATGAATGTTATTCTCCCAAAGCACCTATGCCAGCCCAAGGTAACTTGGTAGCATGAAAATTTACAAGGTATACTCTGGCATTAAGGAATGTCATTAGAGTAACATTAAGAACAATTTCCCTTCCAGGCTCTCTCAACCCTGATAACCCTTCTAGACAAATCTGAACAACCCTTTACAAAGAAGTAAATGTGAAAAGGGCCTCAACCAGCTCTGGAGAGGCCAGAGGCCAGTCAGGTCTCTGAGGAATGACCTACGCAGACTACAGCAGTCTCACTTCCCCTTCTCCCCAGCAAGACAGTGTAGCAATTCAAAGTTTTAATTTTCAAGAGTTACACAGCTTTTAGCAATATCGCCATGCACAACTCAGGTCTGGGTTTTCTCATTTCTGCATGCAAAACTGTGGGGGTAGATGGACTGAGCACAGACATTTGCCAAAACTGCTTATGTAAACAGAAGGAATAGGCAATGCACTATGGGATATAGTCAGTAAACATGGGGATAAAGGTGTCATACTTTGTCTTCTGATAGTTTCTCAGAGACTCCTATAGAGAAGAAAGCATAATTCCTATAATTGGAAACACTGAACATGGATTTCTGCCTTGCTCTACCCATCCTGTGTCAGCTTTCTGCCTCTTCCTACTCACCTTTCCTTCCTTCTGGTTATTTTCTTCCTCATCAGAGTCCAAAACCAAGTCCCCTATGGTAATAACAGAGCCACATAGGAATGGGCTCTGCACTGCAGGAGAGAAGCCACAATTAAAACCAGTCTTTTAAGCCAGCTGAGATGGACACACCTGTAATCCCAGCACCCAGGGAGGCAGAGGCAGGTGAAGCTCTGTGAGTTCAAGGCAAGCCTGGTCTACAAAGTGAGTTCCAGGACAGCCAAGGCTAACAGAGAAACTATGTTGAAAAACAAAATAAGAAGATAAAGGAAGAAACAGAAGAATCAAAACAGCAACAAAAACCCCACACTAAACCTACTCTTTTAGGTGAACACAGGCCCTGAAGAGTCCCAAAGAAAGGCTGTCTGGTCCAGTTCTGACAGCCTGCTTACCTGGTTTCTTGACTCTAGGACATGATGAGAGTCTTAGAGGATCCACATAGCAACTCACACAGTTCCTGAGGTGGAAACATGGGAAGGGTAAGGGTGAAGAAGGGAAGTGGGCAAGGAATGTGTTCCTAAGCAAGGAGAAGGAATTCTTACTCCTTTTGCTCTGCAGCAGGCGAGTCAGGTGGGCTGTCCTCTAGCGCCCTTTTCCCCAGGGTTTGAGATGGACTTTTAGACTTCCCAGTGCACACTGCTTCTGTACCCGCAGAGCTTGCTTTGTCCATTCCATGCTCTTCCCTGCTTTTAGGGTTAGCTATGTCTTGGGCTGGTAAGCCCATGTTCCTAAAGGGGAACAGCATGACCGTGGGACGCTCTTTCTGGCTTCCCTTTGCAGATGTCCACTGTGACCGGAATTTCCGCTTTCCCAGAGGGGCCAGATTAAAGCGGTATCCAGGTAAATGTTCTGGGTGCTCCTGTGATGCTGCTCGGTGAAAGTCAAGCTTAGCTTTAGGCGGAGGACTGGGGAGTGGTTTGGTTTGCTGAGGAAGACTCTGTTCCATGGGTTCTGTCAGATTCACTGAGTCAGAAGCACCCCTCTCTAAAAGACAAAATGAGATGCGCTATAAAATCAGAGACAGGTTAATTCAGTCAGCTTTTGTGTCTCAGGTCCACATAACTTCTAATCGGCTGACTCCACACTAAACACCTTCAAATTGCTAGTTACCTCAGATGGTTCTTTTACCTGGAAATGGCCATCCCATGTCCATACCATACTGGCGCAAAGCAACGGAAGAAGTGATTAAACAGCCAGGCTGAATCCAACTTAGAGCATCCTGGAGCTGTGGGCAAGGTGACAGTTATGAAGGTCGTTATTCTCGGTAAAGCCACCCCACGCTCTGCCCTCAAAGTGTTTTCTCTCCACAACCTCCTGTGCTTTGACGGCAGGCAGTGCTCTTTCCAGCTGACACAAGTATTCAAAGAACAGCTTTTCCATGGCAACCAGAAAGGGTTCCCCATAGTCTTGTTGGAGTTCCTAGATGTGGCAAAGAGAAGCAGGTCAGGTGAGTTTCAGAAAAGCCAGGAATCACACAACATCCTACAAACCAATCCCTCTCACCCGCAGGCTCCAGGTCAAGTCGTCAGGGTCCTCTGACAGCTGCTGCACAAGCAGGCAAAAATTTTTCTGTGCCTCCAAAACCTTCCTATCTTGCTTTGTCTGTTGAGGGTATGGAAGACAGAAAAATTAGGGGAAACGGGTATCACCAGGACCCAGGCGTAACGGGTGCATCACGCCTAATGAGTTTGGCCTGTCCGAGGGATTACTCACAGCTGTAGGTTCCACTGGTCTGCACTCTTTGAAATGATAGTTGAGGGCATTCAGGACCTGTGCCCAGGGTCGCTCCTGCAGGATCAACTCCACCACCACCTGCACGGTAATGAACTCAAGAATTCCTGCCCTTCTCCAACCGGGCTTAGTCCCAACCAGTCGGCCTTCCTCAGGTCCTCGCATCCCGCCCCTTCAGATTCTACTCTTTCCAGTACCTTGGCCTTTAGGCCCATACACAGGCGTTCATGATGCCGGAAGCAAACCAAGCCGGGGGCGGCAGCACGCAAGGACTGCAGAAACTCTACCACTCTCGGGAAGTGCTCCACGCGGCGCCGGCGGACGACCAGCCAGCTGGCTGCAGCGGCGAAGCGCAGGGACGCGGGCCCCAGCCTTGGAGGTGTGGCCATGGCCCTCGGGCGCCCTCTCCCCCGCGCCCCTTTCGCTCGGCCCCGGCTCCCCGGCCGGCCGCGCAGGCGGAGCTGCGGCTCTCCCGCCTGCACCGGAAGGTCGGCGGACTGGCTCGGACCCGGCCGGGGAGCCGCAGGAATTCTGAAGCCTCCTCACAAGCGATGACCCTCCCGTACGGAACCCGCGCAGAGCGCTGAGCTGGAAACGCCGCCGCTGCGCGCAACGCCGGGCTGCGTCACTTCCGACAGAGCGCGGGCCCTCCCCGCCCCGGCCGCCAGCCGCTTCCAGGAAGTCTTCTGTCGTTCCTCTCGCGGAGCGGAAGAGGGCGCTCGCTTTCAGAACAAACCCAGACGGGGCCCGGCTGTCGCTCCGCCGTCCTGCCCTGACTCGCGGGCGCCCAAACAGGAAAACGCAGCTTAAAATATCACGTCGTTAGCCAGGGGTTCCCTGGACGGTAGGATTACAGTCGCTCTGTGCTTTTCTGGGCCATGTCTTTGCTGTTTCGTGTTTAGAATAGTTAAAGTTTCCTTCTCCAAGTTACTTTTGAGTCTTTTAGTGAATTGACTGTTAACTTGTCTGTCTCCCAGTCATACCTGGTGCCTCTTAAAGCCATCCCAGGGGACAGAACCCGACGCATTGTGTATACACTGTTGCTTTGTTGATTGAACTAATTGCCTGCCTTGCCCACCTTCCAGGCATTTCATGAAACCTGCCCATTCTTCGGGTGGATTTTTCCGTTCCCAGACCCAAGGCTCACACTTTGCCTCCATCCTCTAGATCAGTCGTCCGAACCTTTCCAGACCTAGTACCAAAGTACCTCATTGGATGTTGAAGTTGTAGTTGATCTTGTTCATTATTTTCTGTCATTTTTATGCAAATCTGAATTTCTGACGTATATCTTTTTTTTTTTTTTTTTTTTTTTTTTTGGTTTTTCGAGACAGCGTTTCTCCGTGTAATAGCCCTGACTGTCCAGGACTCACTTTGTAGACCAGGCTGGTCTCGAACTCACGAAGATCTGCCTGCCTCTGCCTCCGTTAAAGGCATGGGCCATCATGCCCGGCCTTTTTCATTTTTTCTAAAGAATTTTCTCAGGGGTATGGTGGTGCACACCTTTCAATCCCAGCACGAGGGAGATGAGGGCAGGCAGATTGCTAGGAGTTCAGAAGACTAGCTTATGCTAATAGCAAGACAGTCGTCCCCCCCCCCACCCCGACCCCCATCCCTCAGAATTCCAACATCTTGCAGGCAGCTCTACTAGTGACAGATTTCCTTAATTTTTGTTTCAGAAAGTATTTCGTTTTTGGATGGTAGTTTCCGCTGAATACAATTGTAGATTCGTGGGCTGAGAAGTTAACTTCCTTTTAAAAATTAGTACATGGGAAAGCCAGAATAGGCTAGAGGTGGGTTTCCCTTATACAGGGGAGGAGGAGCTAGAGCTGGGATTAACTGGACTTTTAATGACCTGAGTTGGTAGATTCTGTATCTATTTATCTATCTATCTATCTATCTATCTATCTATCTATCTATCTATCTATCTTTTTTAAAAATAAGATTTATGTGTCTGAGTGCTTTGTTTACACGTGTGTATGGGCACTAAGTGTGAGCCCAGCATATGCAGAAGTCAGCAGAGGGTGTGTGATCTCCTGAACTGGAATTACAAATGGCTGAGACACCACTGTGCAGAAAACTGAACCCTAGTGTTCTGGAAAAGGCCCCATTGCTCTTAACCGCTGAACAATCTCACTCCAGCCGCAGAGATAGTTTCTTTGGAGAGCAGGCCTCATTAAGAGTAGAATGAAGCCTAAAGCCAGAGATGATGACACACACCTTTAGTTCCAGCACTCAGGGGGCAGAAGCAGGCAGATCAAGGCCAGCCTGGTCTACAAAGGGAGTTCCAGGAAAGCCAGAAGCCCCGTCTCCAAAACCAAACAACAAAAACAAAAGAGTAGAAAGAAGCTGTGAGTGATGGTGTATACCTCTAGAACCGCTACGTCAGAGGCAAAGGCAGGCAAATTTCTGTGAGTTGCAGGCCCTCCTGATCTACATAGGGAGTTCCAGGCTGCATCCTGAGACCCTGCCTCAAAAATAAATAAACAAAAAGAAAAAAGAAAGAATGGGATATATTTCAAAATGCTATTTTTCTTCTCTCCTTGCCAAGAAGCCCAGGGGAATTTCCTCTAGTTTTCATTGCTGGAGAAGCTTCCGGAGGCAAAGCTCTGAAAGTAGAGCCTCCTAGAAACGGACCCAGTTATAAATGAGATTATAACTCAGACTTACTTACATGAAGCGCCCAGCTATTTGTCCCTTGTATTTTACGTGTTCCAGCACAGTCCTGGTGTGGTTTTCACAGAAGTCCTACTCTTGGTACTAAGAAGTTGTGATTCTATGTCTTCCTGCTTGTCTCTCCAGTTGGGGAGAGCAGTTTGCCTTGTACTCACACGCTTTCTTTCTTTCTTTCTTTCTTTCTTTCTTTCTTTCTTTCTTTCTTTCTTTCTTTCTTTTTTCTTTTCCCTTCCTTCCTTCCTTCCTTCCTTCCTTCCTTCCTTCCTTCCTTCCTTCCTTCCTTCCTTCCTTCCTTCCTTCCTTCCTTCCTTTCTTTCTTTCTTTCTTTCTTTCTTTCTTTCTTTCTTTCTTTCTTGATAAGGTCTCACTCTGTAGCTCAAGTTATCCAGGAACTCCCCTTGTAGTCGAGGCTGGCCTTGAATTTGTCAGTTTTCCCACCTCAGTCTCCTGGGCATTTTGACTACAGGTGTGTTTGTGTGTGTGTGTGCGTGTGTGTGTGTGTGTGTGTATGTTTCTTCTGTGTTGGGTACATGCGTGAACATGCCATGGAGTCTGTGGCGGTCAAGCCACCTTTAGTAATTGGTTCTCTCCTTTCTCCTGTGGGCTCTAGGAATTAAACTCAGCTCCTCAGTCCTGCGTGGCGAGCACTTTACCTACTGAGCTGTCTCCAGCCTTCAGTGTTTTTCCTCTTGTGAAGATGTTTGCTGCACACTGTATGGCTCAGGGATTGACCTGGTAGGGGCAGGCAGTGATGAAATGAAGAAAGGACAGAAACACCGACACCAGTTCAGAAAAGCTGGAATCTGGTCGGCAGCATGCTCTGATGGAGTCGCACCAACAAGAGCAGCAACTCAGAAGCCCAGTGTGTTTCTTCCATGAATCCAGAAGGCCGGCTTATTTATTGTATACAGCTGAACAAAAGACGAGTGTAGCAAATCTCCATCGAGCTCTCTCTCTGGGAGCGGTCTCGTTCTGCAGTCATCCCAGGGGAGGGTGCTCAGCTTTCACACTGGACCAGGGGAGGTCTGTGTCAGTTCCTTGAGCTGTGCCATTCCCATGAGTCTGAGGTGTAGTCCTGCTCATGCAAGCAATACACATTCACTCGCGACTTCAGCTGCTCCCACAGCAACTTCTAAGTTGCTTCCACTATGAACTGAAAGCCAGGTCGTCTTCCCTGTTAGATCTGCGCCCCCTCCTGGGCACTATGCAGTGTGCACGCCATCTTTCTTCACGGCACTGTGAGCCACACATCCTGGCCAGTGCCCTCAACTCTGTCTTCCTCCTCTTCAAATCTAACTCATCACCAGTCAGTTCTACAGCCAGCAAGCCCACCCTTTTCCGTTGCTTCTTCTATTTCAGGTTTGCTGTCTTTCGCCCTGAGGTGACGACACTCTACATTCGGCCCAACCACTCTTCCATTTTTTTTTTTCTCCCAGTTTCTTTACCATGTTGGTTTCATCAAAATCTGCTGAACTGAAAAACTGATCACATAAACTTAACTAAAAGGTCCTCTTTACATTGGAAAAAAAAGGCCAGCCAAGCATGGTGGTCTGTGGTCTGTAATTCCAGCACTTTGAGCTTCAGGGTGACATGCTATCCCTCTCAAAATGACAAAAAATAAAAATAAAAGCCAAAATCCCTAAAAATATGACAAGATAATTTTTGCAGTGCTGGAGATTGGACCCAGGGCCTCGTGACGCATGCTGCACCAGCGTTCTACCACAGAGAAGAGTCTGGAAAAAAGAACTTTGAATGACCTGGTCCTCGAGCTTAGTCTTTGTCTCAGCACTAATCATGTGCCTGCATGCCAATCTTCACCACACTGCATTTCCAAATTTACGGTGTTCTCACGTCTCTTTACACATGCTGGGTGATTCCTCTGTCCTCTGCTTCTAGTGTTGCCTCCTCCCTGCTTTTTGTCACACATGCCGTGAAAGTACTCTACCGTTTTGGTACACCTCTGGCCTGTTTTGAAAACTGCCTCCATGTAGCCCTCTTGGTCAGACAAGGAAGGTAAGACTTCCCTAGGCTTCTTAGCGCCCTGTGCATCTCTTCACCATCGTGGCTAGTCAGTCCTTGTCGTGTAGAGCTCTTTTCATGAGGTTGGTAAGCCGGCTCAGTGATGGGACAGTGCTTGGGACAGAGCCTGGCTTGTAGCAGGAGCCCCACACACATCTGAGTCATCCTTCGTTGCTCCAGTCCATCATATAAAAACCTCTCAGTAGTTGGGGGCTGGAGAGATGGCTCAGTGACTAAGCACTTAAAGCTTGGACTATGATGCACAGATCGGGAAAGGAGAATTTGCTAATAACCCAGTCATACAGCGAATGCAGAGGACCCAGGTTTGGTTCCCAGCACCCACATGGGGTGGCTCACAACCATCTGTAACTCCAGTTCCAGGGAACCCAGTGCCCTCTCTGGTCTCTAAGGGCCCCAGGCATGCGCACACATGGTACAGGTACATACATGTAGGCAAAGCATTCATACACTAAAAATAATCTCAGAATATGCACATAACCATTCATCATCCCGTATACTTTATTGTTTATCTTCTGAGATAGGGTCTTTAGGTTGTCCAGGCTTGGCTGGAACTTGCTATGTATCCTTGGCAACCTCAAACTTGAAATCTGCTTGCCTCTGCCTGCCAAATGTTAGGATTACAGGCATGTGCCACCATACATCCAATCTGAATGCTTTCATTTTTCTTTACAATTCTCTATTTGTGAGTATGTGTGAGGGTCATGTACATACGTGAAGGTCAGAGGACAACTTGCAGGTGTCAGTTCTCTCCTTCCACCATAGGAGGGTCTGGGGATCAAACTCAGTTATTAGGCTTGGCAGTAAGTGCCTTATCTACCATCTTGCTGGCCTTTCTGGATATTTTGGAACATTTCAAGAGTACTTAGCATTGGAAAAAAGCATCAGAAAACGAG